CATGACGGCACCACAATAAATACAACATTCTACAAAGCTGAGGTCATGTGAGAAAGTCCTGGGTTTGAGTCCTGAGGTCTTGCTGAACACACCAGGGGCTTGTGCACCTGCCTGTGATCCTGACTGCCTGAGACATGGGGTGGATCATGTGTGAAAAGCCTCTAGGGAGTGGCTCTCTCTGTCACTTCCTCACTCTTGTGGAAGAAATAAATTTTTTAAAAACTGTGTATTTGTTGATTTTTTTTCTTTCTCTCAGGTTTTTGCCAAAGGATGCATATGCTCACCAGAGAGAGACAGAGAGAGAAAGAGAAAGAAAATGAGAACTCACTCCTTAAGGGGGATAGCCACAGCATAATCCCTTCTCTTTGCTTTTCCTCTTGGGATTTTGGGCACACATGCCCAGTGTGATTTTTTAAGCTGCCAAGTCTGGGGGTCAAACCACAGTTGGGCATGTGGTAATAGAGCACCTTAACCAACATGCCACCTGCTGGCTCCTATTTGTTGATTTTTAAGAGATTCAAAGGAAAAAGAATAGGAACATTTATTTAGTATCAGATATTTTATACATACAACTGGAGGACATATATTTTATTCTTGTACAATCAAAGTAGAATTTCCTTTTTATTTGTCAAATTTGTATCTTTATATAGAAAATTTGAAATTTTATGGAGCCAGCAAAGGTGTGGGACTCTCACATGGCCAATGGTAGTTAAAGTCCTGGACCTGGAAACTTGCTTTCTCACTTTCTCTCTCTCTCTCTCTCTCTCTCTCTCTCTCTCTCTCTCTCTCTCTCTGTCTCTCTTATGTCGCATTTAAATCTCTTTCTGGTCAGATTTTAAAATAATAATTTTAAAAATAATAATAACAAATAAAATAAAATATATAATTATTGGAAAAAACATAAAAGAAAATTTGCAATTTTAGAGCCTGCATATTTGAGAATTTAGTGCTCAGAACATATGCACATGAAAATCGGTAAAATTATCTTGAAAAAGATGTTTAATTTCCCCAATACCATGTGCTGACACTTCGCTAGTTAATTCTAAAGGTAGTAGGTGGATAAAGCTATTGAAGGGCACCCTAACACTTAGCTTTATGCTGGGTGCTGTGAAAGACATAATATGTCAAGGAGTCTAGCAGAACCAGAGAAACACCCCTATTCAGGTCTGCAGCAGCACTTATGAACACCAGCACCATAACACAATTTCACCCGCATGGGGGAGTTTAGTAACAAAGATATAAGACTGGCAATAAAACCCAAGGAAAAAAAGGCATTCTCACAGATGCTGTTAGGGAGAGGGGAAACTAGGGTGACCTCTTTAGAGGATGTGATATTGGAAGGCTCAATGAAATTTTAAATGCACATACCCTTGCGTGCAACAATTCCACTGGTAAGATTTCACCTACTAAATTCTGAAAAATTATTCATATTTTAAAAAGACATATGAATCAGAGCATTGGATATAACATATATTTGTGCAACCACAATTATAAAAACAAAGTAAGTGTTTACAGTATGGCACTATTTAAATAAATTATGGCACATTCACAGAACGCAATACTATGCATCACTGAAAATGTGACAACCTGCATCTCTAAAACATACATAATTAAGTACCAAAAAAAGCAAAGAACAGAACAAGTATAGTATGAGTCCATTTGGGATATATGAATGTATGTATGTGTATATGTGCATAAAGGTTTTATATTTTTTAAGCTGTCTGTTTTTGTTTTATTTCCTACAGATATGGAAAATACCATAAACAACAGTCACACATTTAGGAAAATATTTGGGGGTTTCATGTATGTTTGAGAGGGCATAATGAAGAATTTACTTCTTATTTTTATATCCAGTGTACTATTTGATTTTTAGCCATATGCCTGTATTTTGAAAAGTATAAATATTATTTTTAAACTATACATAAAAATATTAGTCTAAAGAGACATTCATTGACCAATATTAATACCAATGTTAGTATCTAAAAATTATTACATATCTCAAAGATGTTTAAAAACACCCAACAATGTATTTGCTTGATGTTTTTAAGGGCTTAATCTGCCAATGAGATTTTAGTTGCCTAGAAATGCAAAAAAAAAAAAAATGTGAAATCAGAAGGGTAACACAGAAACCAAAGGATTGATATGTATCTATATCTATCTACATAGATATAGCAAAGGAATTTAGCAAAACCTAATAAGCATAATTGAACCCCCTTCTTTCCATAGTAAATTAAGGCCCAGATGTGAACCTGCTTTCTACATTAAATAGTTAAATATGATTAATGAGAAGTAACACTGTAACTGATAATGAAACCCAAACTGACACCACAATGTGGAATTCATCCTAAATGTGCATTTTTTTCATTATTTTATGTGAGCATCTTTTCAAATACTACTACTCTCCAAATGCTTCAAAATTTCAATTAGTAATATATAGCCCTTCAAAATATCATTTTCTTAAAATTGATCCATTTTGCATGGAAAATGCCACTTGCACAGAGATGCCAATAATCACCAGAAACAGAATTTAACAGATATTTTTAGAAATTCAGCCCCCCTGCTAAAACAGCACCTATGTAAGTGTCAAGCACTCTGGAGTTCAGAAAAGAAAGAATCCCAGTGTGGAATATAAATAATGGTAAAAGTATCAGAATTAAGTCATAATCTGAGCTGACCTTTTAGATAAAAATGCTATTTGTGATAATGCAGAAGAAATAGAAGATTAAATATTCCAGTTGTAGGGCAAGAGAACTGAGTACTCAAAAGGGATAACAACTTTAGCATAATGAAATGAAACTGATAAAAGATAGAAAATACATTTGAGTGAAGAAAAGTGTTCTTAAATGTTAAAATAAGAAAAATGCACCAGCCAACACTGATGAACCACAGGTTTATTATTAGTAAGATTAGGTAAGATACATCTAGTTATTTCTCAAGGATAATGGTTCTCAACCATAAACAGGCATCAGTATCACAAGAACTGTTAAGACACAGATTGCTGGGCCCCACACTCACACTCAGAAAATTTGACTCAGTAGGTCTGAACTAGAGCCCTGGTATCTACATTTCTTTTTATTTAATTATTTATTTATTTATTTATTTTATTTATTTATGTTTAGAGACTTTTGCCTTAGGGTGCATGCGCTCACTAGGGAGAGACACACAGACAGACAGAGTGAGAAGGAAAGTGAGAAATCACCCCAAGGCGGGATAGCCATGCTGCAGTCCCTTCTCCTCCATTCTCCTCCTGGTATCTTGAGCATGCATGCATAGGCACCTGGCATGAGTGCCAAGCCACCAGGTCGAGGAATCGAACTGCGGTCACCCATGTGGGAGTCCAGCAATGTAACCTCTACACCACCTGCTGGTCCTTCTGCATTTCTAGCAAATCTCCAGGGGACAGTGATGCAGCTGATCTGGGAGCCACATTTGGAGAACCACTAATCAAGAATAACTTGGAATATATCAAATCCTAAGTTTCTTCATGTTCTGTTTCTTCTGAGGATATGGCACAGAAAATGGTATCCTCAGATAACTGACACAGGTACAAGCTTTCCCAAGTGTAAGTAACCTCTTAAACAGCAGGTTCTTAGCACACTAAAGTCTCCTGGAATTGATTTAAGAGCTATACCATCTGAACCTGAATATTGGACCCCAATTTTATGTTAATTACCCCATCGTCCAATGAGGCTAAGCCTGAGAAAGTGGCTCTAGAGCCAGACACAGACCTATACTTAATATCTCACTTAATATCAACCTCAGACCAGATCTGTTGCTTTTAATATCTCACTTAATGCCCTAAGTTCATCAAACTACACCTAACTTTATATCAAATCAAAGAATGTGCTACATTACATCACTTCACTAGCTGTAATGTGTAAATCCAAAAACCACAAACCACATGAAGATCCCCAAATCCACATCCAAATGATGAGAGTGCAAGAAAGGGTCACAGATGAGAATGCTGTAATGACCCACTATCCCTAAAAACAGTCCAAGGAGGTCTTGCAGTCATTCTGCTACAGTACAAGCAAGGAAATTAGAGGCATGATGAGCATTAGACCTTCTAGGTGTCTAGATGTTGTTGCAAAGGTATTCTTAGATGTGATTAACAGTAGGCTTTTAGTACAGTATGGACCCTTTATAATGCAGATAAGTCTCATTCAATCATTGAAGAGCTTTAGAGAAAAATAAAAAACAAAAACTGAGGTCCCACAAGAAAAGGAATTGTGTCTCCTGACTGACTTTAGTACTGAAGACTGTAACATTACTTCTTTCTTAGACCTCCAATCTGCCAGCCTTTCCTGTGTATAGGGGCTACCCTATGACTACATTCCTGAAAATAAGTCCAGATAAGAAGCCAATAAGTGGTGTAGGGGTTGTGTCTCTAGACTCTCACACAGTCAACCACAGCTCAAGTCCTGGACCAGATGGCTTGAAAATCAAGCCTGGCGCAAGTGCACGCATGTCCAAAATCCCAAGAGGAGGACAAAGGAGAAGGAATTGCAGCATGGCTCTTCCCCCCATGGCTCTTCTCTTTTCCCTCTCACTGTCTCTGTCTCTCTCACTGTCTCTGGCGCTTTCCCGCTCCAGCGAGCGCACGTGCCCTCTGGCAAAAATCTCTAAAAATAAAGAAAGAAAATAAGTCTAGATAAATAGACTGTAATAGATATACATCCTGTTGTTTCTGTTTTTCTGAAGAACCCTATTACAACCCCAAATAGTTCATAACTTCTAGTCGTTTATTTGATAATGATCAATTACTTCCATCTTTCTAAAACAAAAAGTCTCTTTTCACCTTTAAAATTAAGAGTACCTTTATAAGTGTACCAGATCTTAATTTTAATTACACTTATCTTCTATACCACTATACATAAAATTCAACCAGGAGGAAGTAGTTTAGAGCGGGCAAAGAAACCTTAGTTATGAACTATACTATTTTACATACACGTCAACTGTTAGCACAATCTGTTGGAAGGATCCAGGAGCTGATAACTTACCATGCATCCATCTTGATCCAAATGCTCCTTGGAATCCATACCTAGTTTCCTTTTCCTGTTAGGCTGTTTCATGGCCACTATACCACTCTGCTTTCTGTAAAATAACACCACATAAAATGTTAGAAGAGTTGCCCCTTCAGAATTACAAATGCAAACAAAACACATGCTTTCAATTATGCTTTTTATAGTTGTTTGTTATAAATAACCTGATAACAAGCTGACAAAAATTTCCTGTTGGTTTTATAGCCACTAATGTAATAATAAAATAATTATAGAGAGATGGGTTTTCTACCTCACCTAGAATTTGTATCACAAAGGAAACTAGTACTATTGCTTTAAGTCTTATCCATGATAAAACTGTTAGTTTTTGTTTTGTTTTGTTTTGCTTAGCTGACCTAACCAACTCAAATACAGTGTAATCTGCCTGTATAATTTCTTTACTTACATGTTTGGGCTGTCTTCAAGTGTCCAAGGCAAAGGTATTCTAAGTAAGAGACCTTAGTCATAAAGGCACAGCACAGAAATCTGGAACAAAGAAAATAAGAAAAAAATTACCAATCCAATTTATCGAGACCATTAATTAGTATATTAATAAAAACCAGTAAACATTCTTTGAAAAGTTATTCAGGATGAGTTTTGTATAGAGCAGGTAAAACAATTTAGAGAACAAATATATATACTACTATACAAGTACTGCTGTCATTAAGGTTCAAAAAGTCATTCATTCTGAATAAGATTAATGATTGGCATGTAATTTTTTAAATTGCTATAGGACAGGAATACGTGTGTATGTGAGAAAGAGAAAGCATTCTCCAGGGAGTATAAGAGTATAATCACACCACAATCCCTTCTCCTCCATTCTCCTCCCAGAATTTTGGGCATATATACTTTTTCTTTTTTTTTGTGATGCCTCAAATTGTATTCTTTGTTTATTACTGCAACTTCTTTCTTTCTTTCTTTCTTTCTTTCTTTCTTTCTTTAATCTATTTATTTATTTACATTTTTTATACATCCAATTGCATTATTTAGCTTACAAAGTGAACATTTCAATATGTGAACATTTCTCCCCAGTCCAGTTGATCAAAATATACTACCTCCCTGTCCCGACAATGCTCTGTCTCCGTATCCCTCCTCCAGATGTCTTTCCCCAGACCCCACTCCTCCACACACACCACATCTGGCACTCATACCCATCTCTTATGTTTGTACATCCTTTAGCCCATCAGTTTCAGTCATAGAGTGTGGACACTCGGTATATATTAAGTGGGGACATACATTGTCTCTCCTTCATAGCCTGGCTTGCTTCACTCAGCAGTGTTTTTCTAGACATCAAGTCTAGGACTTGAACTGCACAGTCACCCATGTAGGCTCCAGCTGCCTTAACTATCATTCCATCTGGCAGCCACAGCATGTAAGTTTTTTAAAAAAAGGTTAAGAACCCTAAAGCATCTATAGTCCCCAGTGAAAGATGGAGAGAGAGAGAGAGACAGGCAGACAGACAGATATATAGATACAGATATACTGGGTTGTCTGAAAAAGTCATGACACTTTTCTGGTTTTCTATGCAAAAAATGTTTCATGACTTTTCCAACAACCCAATAGATGGCTAACTTCTTCTTCATTGATATTTTCACCTAAACCATAACTTTTCAAATACTAGAAACCCAGTGTTTTCACAATCAAGCTTATCGCTTGCCTACCTGCCAGTTCTAATCTCTCCTCCTATGTGCAGTAATGACAACTGATGACCCATTTGCCCACAGCTGTCCCTCACAGTTTTTCAGACTATGTACTGCCCAAGAACACCAGGCCAGCAGGCAAGGAGTCTGAAACACACCCTGGGCTCCACACACACTGACACCCCTAACACAGGATTGTATCTGCCCAAGATGCATCTTTTTCTAACTCTAATAGCAGCCTTGAATTTGCCAGAGCCAGAGACTAGTCACCATCATTTTATCTTTATATGACACCCCAGATACTGTCACCAAGTTTTATTGGCTTTTAATCTACTAAACATTTCATAAATACATCTTCTTCTTCTATCTTTATTAACTCTGAACAGCTCCAATTTAATGTTCCAATCATTGAACAGGTCTTGGCAACACATTGTGCCTGCTATTTCTTAGCCCTATACTTTTGCTGGTCTCTCAGTGTCTAAACACCTTCTCTGCTAGCTGCCCCTCCCTTTTCAATCTAATTCTTACTCACTCTTTATGACTCAACTAATACAAACATCACATCCTTCAGAAAATCCATCCTTGCTTACTTCCTGCTCCCAAGGGGCCAAGTGCATCTTGCCCACACTTTATAATACTTATGCGTATCTCAGAAACACCATTTACCACTTTATATTTTTAAATTTGCACATATAGCTCCCCTTATGAGGCTGGAAGCATCCTGATGACATGGACTATGAGTAAGCATTCCTAATTTTCCACTGTCTGGATAGTACCTGGCTCATGGCAGATCCAATAAATATTTGTTGACCTGCAATGCATAAACATCTCTCTGAATTAAAGCCCTTAAGTCCAATGGATATTAGTTCTTAATCCATGTATTACTCTTTTTAGAACGATTGCCAGTGTGACTGGAATGAGCATAGTTCTCAAACTTAACTCCTTTTCCTTTTTTCTTTAATAGACAAAAACAAACAAATTAGCAAAAAAATCACTTCCTGATACCCATTTGCTTTTAGTCAGATGATATTTATGTCCTTATGACAAGCAATTACCTTCTAAATTCAATAACATTACATTCGTTTTGTAGGATGTAAATACAATTTATCAAGCCTAGCTCCTGGTAACACTCTGAACGTCTATGCAAATGAACAGCTTAGACTTGATGCCTTTAGCAAAGTATTATTGCACAGACATAAGCTCTGCCAAGGCCGGCTTGCCTCTCACAATGAGTAACACCCCATGACTTGTCGAACTGAAGTCATCTGGCTAGTGAAATTCTCTCCTCACTACCTCAGCAATCTGCCTTGCTAATTCCTGGTAATTATCTGAAAAACCCTGATTTGTTAAAAACAAAAAAGCCTGAATTTATATTATTATATGTTACAGAACAATGAAAGCTTTTACATCAAGGAGAAACTTCAAAATACAATCTGGTAACAACGGAATGCCCTTTAGATTTGGAAATAAAGCAAAAATATGAAAGATACCTAACAATCTACATAAGATTGTGCTGCCAGAAAAAAAAAAAAAAAGAGTCAAATATACCATTCACTATAATACATAGAAGATAGATGATAGATAAATAAATAGCCTGATATACAGAAGGACAGTTACAGTAAGATTTTACATAATCCCTTAGAATGCTAATTCTGAGAATTTATATTAACCAACCAAACAGAACACTTCTTTTGACACAAGCTTAAGTTGATATCACTGACATTGTATCAAAATACATGGATTATTCTGATTGCCTATTATACATGGTCTACACCCACAGGACCCCAAATGTCTCATCAGCCACATACCTCCTTGCTGAATTTTGAAGAAATACAAAGTTGTTAGAATCAAGAAAGACTAATGTCAAAGTATAAAGCACACTAATGAGAAGTAAAGGCGAATGACAGCAGGGCCAAGCTGCACCCCAGTGTATTCTAGTTTTGTAACAACAGCCAGGCACCAACCATAAAAGACAAAGTGATTTATTAGAGAACTTTTAAATAGTATTTAAAAATACTTTTAAATAGTATTTTTTTAATGTCAAGAGGACCAAGATGTACCCCAGTGTATTCTAGTTTTGGAACATGAGTCAAGCACCAACCAAAACAGACAAGGCAATTTTAATTAGAGACAAGATAGACAAATATATATAAATGATTTTTAGTTCTGTAAAAAAATTGGCAATAGTGTCCATTTTTTAAAATTAATCCTCTTAAGCAGTTTGATCTTCCTTAGTTAGAATTCTCTATCTGCTCACTGTTAAACACTTGTCTTACTGACCTCCTAGTTAAAAAGACAAATTAGACCATTACTCAGAAAGCATCTTAATATTTTCAATTCTTGAAATTAAAGGAGTCTATAAATAATACAAATAGTTCATAGTTGGGCCAGCCCCATAGTGCACCAGTTAGACTCTGCACAGAGGAAGTGGGATTCCACCTGGCCAACTAGAGTTTGCGTCCCAACGGCTTGAAAAATATCCTAGGCATGTATATGTGCCTGGGATCCTGATGCGATACAGAATTGGAGGGAAAAAGACTACGTGATCGGGCCGTGTTAAGGGATTCTTTCTCTCTCACACACACATGCACACATTCATTCACCCTCTAGCATTAAAAAAATAAAATTCATTGTTTGCCTATTATCCAGGTTCTATTTAATCATTCTTTCAAAAAATATTTATTGATCACCTACACTGCCAACACAGCCGCAGGTACTCTGTAGAATATAAAAATGATCGATCAGTCATCTTAAAGAGGAAGAGAGGTACAGTAGCCTGGGTAACCCAGGATTTTTCTGCATTTTGCCATCTGATAATGTTCCATTATCAGCATTAGTAGCAGTGCCTTTTACACTCCAAAATATTTCAGTTTAAACAATAAATCATATAGCAGTGTAGATGAAAAATATAAGATTGTAAGGCATGCCATTAAAAAATTACAAGGTTACATGTGTGTTCATGGGAGGGAGAATATGTCTGACAACATGCACTGGAGAGGAGCAGTTCAGTATCCGCTAGGATGTCAAGTAGGTTTTCATAATTTTAACACTAAAATATCAAATACAAATATTTATTATTGCACTGATTTCCCACTATTTCCAAGATGATACTACTTTAAAATGCATTCATCGAGTAGATACTTGATGCTAATAATACATAGTAACTGGTGTTTCGATAACAAAATAAATTATTGTAATTGGCTGCATTTTGGCAACTTATACACAAACTATGGATCCCTATTAAGGTATCATTAAGAACAGCTAACAGCAATTGAGTACCCATGTACAGGTAGATGCACTATCAGCTCTTGACATAAGCACTTTCAATTAACACTTGACAACATATATACCACTATCACCTGTGTTTTACAGATGAGGAAATATCGATGGGGCATTTAACTTGTCCAAGGTTATACAGCAAAGTGCCCCAGCAGTACAATGCTAGATGATTTAAACACCATGCTATGCTGTAGCTTTTATAATTGTGGTCTAAGTTTAGTTAACTTAAACCTCACCATTTGGTACACTAGCCAAACCCTTGCCACACACATGCAATGATTAAAAAAACTCATAGTTCCTATGAGAACATCCGACCCACATGCAGAACTTACTGTCACTTTATTTATAACAGGAAAGTCATCTAGTCTCACAATTTTTATCTTTCCTTTATTATCTATTTTGGAATCTAAAAATTAACAGTTCATTGGAACCAGCAGATGGCATAATGGTTACGTTGCTAGACTCCCATGTAATCAACCATGCTTCAAGTCCAGGACCTGATGGCTTAAAACTCACACTGGGCATGTGTGCATGAGTGCTCAAGATCCCAGAGGAGAATGGAGGAGA